CGTAAGTTCTCTCGATTCGGATACACCTTACCACAATGGTTCTTCGGACATCGAAAATCTTTGCCATCCCTCAGCACCACATGATCAGCGTGCAAGTGAACCTGAACTGATTCGTAGATGAATAACTGAATTAGACGATAACGAGTTTCAATGCAAGTAATTAAATTTGAACATTAAATAATACACGAACGAAAACAAATAAATTACCTGTAAATCGAAATTGGTCTCATAATTAACATCACAAAGATTACATCGCGTTGATGTGGACAGAATAGGTGACGCTACTGTACCGTTCAAGGATCGTTGTGTTGGCGTTGAACTCTCACTACGGCCTGCTCCTTCGCTATTCGCCTCGTCAGAACGTACAGATGATCCTTAAAGATAACCACTAATATCATCAGTTTATTTATGACGGCTATTGAACCGATCACATTTCGATGATCTTCTCATGAACACTCACATAAACTTATGAATTTGAGAAAACTGGAATGGAATCTATGAAAAGCACAAACGCTATACTGCTTACTGAATGGAAAACGCCTGTCTTATAGTTAGTAAGGCACCAAGACTGAACGAATACAAGAGGAAATAACGGTTACCGTTGTCGGACAACGCAGATGAATCGGTGATGAAACGACTGGTGGATGTGATGATCACTTCAGCTGATCGTCTGTCAGACGGCTGAAAGCAGACAAAACTTTATTACTACTACTACAAAACTGCAATGAGTAGTGTTCAAATAAACATTTTGAGGACTATTCCAGTGCGTTTTCCCATAATATTTCCAGCAACTGGGATGTTGGTGCGTAATACTTTTCTTGATGATAACGCATCATCAATACTTCTTCAGCGAATTTCAAATTCCCCCCCACCATTTGATTGACTGCATAAATCAATGATTCCACTCGATGAAACGATAATCGTTCGTCAGTTATTTATCCGTACACAAATATACGAGTTCGTTTCACAAAAAGAGTGCAGTTGGATTATTGTGAGAACGTGGGGATGGCTGATGCTGGATTGACAAGAAATTCGAGCAGAGCACTGATGAACTGAGAGTGAAGCAGTAACTCAGAATTGAGTATGTTTGAAAATGATCGCATTTTTGACGTTTAGTTGCGTAATTTTGCATCAAATTCAATTGAATGCAATCGAAAACGTTCCTCATAACGACATTAGTAATAGTAATAATGATCATAATGACATTCACAATCTGGCAAAAGCGAAAATAATTGTGAACACAAATGAAACCAAACCAATAAATGACAACTGAATCACAGACAGAGGAATGAACGCACGTTAGAAGTGAACGTTTTTATTTACTTCTTCAATCACACGCCAAAATTATCAAACATCACATCAACATGACGACAGTAAAACAAAACGAAACTTCAAAAAAAAAAGAATAATGGAAATGACGACATATAATACATCAATCATAACAAAAATAATGCAACACAAAAAACCACTGAAAAATAATAATAACA